TTTTTTTCGGAAAGAGAGAGATTTTATTATGCGTGCAAATATGCAAACAAAAAGCAGTCCAAAGCTAAATGATACAACTGAGAACTAAAAATTGAGAGAGCAGATCCAGAAATCATCTAGAGACCGAACTAGCAACACAAACACACAAACTAAGAAAACTACTAAGCTCCAAAAATGGAGAATTAAAGATCTCAAAAGGATAATACCCACTCATACTCGAGTCCATAGAGGTCAACGACCAAAACTAAAAACACGACTCCTAAACAAATAACCAAAAAAAAATAAAGAAACACAGAAAAGAGAAAAACTAGCTACACACGAGTCCTTCCAAGGCGGATCAACTGAGCCACGTCAATAGACAAAAGTCGACCCCAAGGAGAGATCTTCGGCCCAAGAAACCGCTTCCGAAACTGTCAAAAATCGCCTAACCGAAGCCGAACCCAAACCTCAAATCAAACCCGAAAAGCAGACCCGACCATTAGCTAGAAGAACACCAAAGCGCAAAAAGGCAGACCCGACCATTAGCTAGAAGAACACCAAAGCGCAAAAAGGTCGCTTGGCAAACTATGCGCAAATTTGGCCTGCACATAAAGCGCAAAAAGGTTGCTTAGCAAGCTATGTTTGCACATATGTAAGCTAGATTAATTAATTAATTAATTAGCACACTAGACTTAAGATTAAGAACACCTAACTTGTAGAAATCTTCGATTGCTAAGACACCTAATTCCTAGGGTAAAGACTTTAACTTTAATTCAATTCTAAGCCTTTCGGCTTTATTAGGTTTAAATAATATTTAAAATGAAATGATTAAAGACGATATGTTGTAAAAGTAGGAGAAATATTCAAAGTGATTAGTAGTTAAAAATATGTAACTGGATGGAAAGTGAATTGAAGTTTATATTATATATAAGGATAATAGATTGGTGTTATTTAATTATATTGATAATACTGATTAAGATTAAACATGGAATAAAGTTGAATTGAATTTTAAATTAAAGAATATAAAAAGATTATTCATTAATCAAACGGAATTATAATTTCTACATCCCATCGCCCCTTAATATGATCCTCAATTAGTTGCTAACATGAATCTTGAGTTAAGAAAGTTATACTCTTCATTGTGAAATGTAGTTTTATTCGAAAATGTATTTATCTTTTTATTGTGAGAATTGATAATGTACTACCAATTCATTAAAAAGGAACAAATTGACAAACATTGTTATATTTTATAAAATTACATTTCTTACAAAATTAAAGTACAAACTAAACATAAAATGACGAAACAAATGGTGGTTAATGCTTTGAAGTCTATAATAAAGATTGAATTTTTTATGTTGCTCCCTACCTTTTGCAGTAAGGTACTTAGCAAATTTTAGTTAAAGAAAATGAACATTGAAATAAAATGTTGTGGAAGCAAAACATAGGCTTAAATTCTTGTAGATGAAGAAAGGAGATCTATATCATATGGCCTCTCATAAATTATGGAGTATAATCCAAGACCTTTAGCCTAATAGATATTATCCCTAATTAATTTATCCATATCTTTATTATCATTTTTTTTGTACTTTTTTACGAAGAAAAAATGAATTATCTTAATTATTTTGATTTGGTAAAACAAACTATCACAATTTTCATTTTGCCTTGGCATAACTTAATTTATTTTGATTCTCTATAATTTTATAAATTTAACCATATTATTTAGAGAAATTACTGTTTTTATACAAATAATATAATAATAATAATAATAAATAAATAAATAAATAAATAATATGTGAGATCTGTTAATCTTCCACAAACCCTTCCTCAACACTTTCTACTGCACTCTGCACCGACCTTCCTTCTGGTTCGTTTCCATTTCTAAAGCAAAAATCCCCATTAAAGCTGAGGCGAAGCTCCTCAAATCCCCACGCAAGCCACAGGCTCACAGCTGGTAGCTTTCTTTTGCACTGTAGCCATTTCCAGTATTTTTCTCCGAGTAGATGAGACGACGGGGCCCAGATTTCCGGCGACCTGCGAGGCGGCGAATCCCGAATGTCTTCTGGTTGACGCTTTTTGGATTAGTGATCTTGCTCTTCATTGTACTGTTGAGCCGGGAGAACCAACAACCGGCCGCGAGATCGGCTTACGCGAAGGTAATTGGATCTGATTTTGCTCGTTCAACTTAAAATGGGCTGCGTTCATATATTATTATGATAATTTTTGTTCTTTGGTCATTGGAGCTTTGTGTTTGGATTGCTTTTGATGAATTTCTTGTGGTTTGTCTTTTGCGAGTTGGTTCAGTTTTGTTTTTGCCATTTTTTGATGGGAATCTATAGAGGTGGAATTTGGAAATAGAAAGTATTGTGAGTGTACGGAGGAGGTGTGAGTATATCAAGATGTAGGTTCTGCTAAGCTGTAAATCAGTATTTGGTGCTATCTACCAAAGATGCTGGTAGAGTTGGTTATATTATCTTATCAACATGTGGTTTTTCTTTTGTGTTAGAATTAGAGGATGTTTGTCACGATCAACAAAGGTACAGTAGGAAACTGAACAGTTGAAAAGTTTTCTAATTGGGAACAAGTTGGGATTCCCTGATGTTTTGAATAATTACTGGGAAATGAATTAGTTCATCGTGCTTATTGTTATAATGACGAAAAACGCAAGAACCNATTGGTGGCCTGAGTATTTATGTCTGTCATCTGCAAATCAGCAATCCTTACAGGAAAAAAACATGATGTAATGGATGTCAAACTTGGTAGATAGCATCAATAATTTAAAGATCTGTTTATGTGGATCCTATAAAAATATTTGCATATGGGTGATCCGTGCAAATAAAATCCAAATCCTTATCGCCATGTCATGTAAAGTGGAAATATTTCTAGTTTGTAATAATACGATAATCAATACTACGTCTTTTGAAAACACATATATTTTTATTCTAAGTAATATAGGTCCTTATAGATCCATCATAAGTCGAATATGATTATCTATCTCATTTCCAGAACAGAGTACTGATATGCAACATGGATCATTTAAGTGGAAAAAAATCATAACAAGAGAATGCATTAAAAAGAAGTTAGCTTATGTCCACAGTGTCTGTATCAGCATCTGGATGGATCCCTGTTGTCATTCAAGATTCTTGGAGTTCTATGTTAGGATTTTACTATGTTATCTCCTACTGTAGTTACTATGTCCTTTTCTAGGTGCTCGGGCTCAGGCTGTTCAAAAACCTGTGTAATGAATTGTTAAGATACTTTCTTGATGGCTTCAATGGCATTTCTGTAGCGCTCTTTTTTTATGTACCTAAACAACCCACTTAGAAACTATTTGTACTTCTATTATTTACTTTTGCTCCTGTAGTGAAGCGTGTAGTACTATACCTGCTCTGGCAGCATGCTATAGGAGAGGTTTCCAGGTACAAACATTTCTGAATTTTCTAGATTGAATTATCTCTTTGATGCTTGTGTAGAAAGATATAGTGGACACAGTTTATAAAATAAGGTAAAATTGTAGAGTAATCCTGCAGAATTCTTATTCGTCTTTGCTTATGGAAACATCATTTGTGGCCTACTGTGAATATGGAGAAAAACACATGTAAGTGGATGCTTTATAGGCATTGTTTGGTTGGTATGTCATTGTAGAGAATGGCTTCTGGAAACAAATGTAAACTTCCATTTTAGTACTAGATAAATAATTTTTAATTATTAATTTATTCTATCAAATTAAAATATATCTTATGTTGGAAATAATAGTTGCTTAATGTGTCGCGAAGGATTAAAATTATATCCTTTTGTCAAATAGACAAAATGCACAGCATTGATAAAAGGACAGATTTGGACTCTCACTAAGATAACTTCTTAAATGTTTTAGCTTTATAGTGATTGTGCTATTTCGACGATGGAATTCCTCTTGGGGGCATAAGGCATTAATATTTTTCTGTCTGAAGAAAGTTCAGCAAACGAGTTTCATTCATTTATTTGAAGAAAAAGGTTTTAGTAGTGAAAATACACAAGTACAAAAGACCAAATCTAACCAGCATTGAGAGCACTACTCGCCAATTTCTGGTATATGCAAAATGTGCTTATGCGGGGTGACTCTGACAGGGGTAGACACAATCCCATTATTTTAGTTGCTATTTTGTTGAAGGGAATATTTGGAGGATATATATATACATATACTCGTGTTGAAGGCACCACATAAGCAGAGGATATTTAGAATTAGTGTGTGGCGTGTTATTTTGGGCAAAGGCCATATATGCTGTAAAATTTGCAGAATGCTTGAGGGTGTTTTTTGTCCTTAATAATAGGAATATCCTGCTTCTTAAATGAGGAACAAAATAGGGATAAGTATATGCATGTCAGAATTATTCCAAATCAAGTCCTTTATGTTTTTGCAGAGGTCCTCGAGGCATGAAAAATTCATGGAAGGCCTTAACATCACGGACGAGATGCTGAGCCCTGACTCGGTCACCCGGCAGCTCAACGACCAAATCTCCCTCGCCAAATCCTTCCTCGTCATCGCAAAAGAGAGCAACAATCTGCAATTCGCATGGGAGCTCAGTGCCCAGATCCGCAACTCCCAAATCCTCCTCTCCAACGCCGCCCTACGAAGAACTCCCCTCACAGCCCCCGAATCCGAAACTGCCATCCGCGACATGGCCATTTTGCTCTTCCAGGCTCAGCAGCTCCACTACGACAGCTCCACCATGATCATGCGGCTCAAGGCCAAGATCCAAGGCCTCGAGGAACAAATGAGCTCCATCAACGAGAAGAGCTCGAAATACGGGCAGATAGCGGCTGAGGAAGTCCCGAAGAGCCTCTACTGCCTTGGGGTCCGCCTCACGAGCGAGTGGTTTCAGAACGCCAACCTGCAGAGGAAACTGGAGAACAACAGGCAAACGGCTTTGAAACTGAGAGACAACAGTTTGTATCATTTCTGCATATTCTCAGACAACATTCTCGCCACGTCGGTTGTGGTGAACTCGACTGTCTCGAATTCGGACAACCCTGGAAAAGTCGTGTTCCACCTCGTAACAGACGAAGTGAATTACGCAGCCATGAGGGCCTGGTTCACAATCAACACTTTTAACGGGGTGACGGTCGACGTTCAGAAATTCGAGGATTTTACGTGGCTGAACGCGTCTTACGTTCCCGTTTTGAAACAGCTTCAGGACTCCGAGACACAGAGCTACTACTTCTCGGGCCACGGTGGCGACAGCCGGACCCCAATCAAATTCCGAAACCCGAAATACCTCTCCATGCTCAACCACCTTAGGTTCTACATACCTGAAGTTTTTCCCGCCCTCAAGAAAGTGGTGTTTCTCGATGATGATGTGGTCGTGCAGAAGGATCTCTCGCCTCTGTTCTCCCTCGACTTGAATGGAAACGTAAATGGCGCTGTCGAGACGTGCATGGAGACTTTTCATAGGTACCATAAATACTTGAACTACTCACACCCGCTCATCCGTGACCATTTTGACCCAGACGCCTGCGGGTGGGCCTTCGGGATGAATGTTTTCGACTTGGTCGAGTGGAGGAGAAGGAATGTGACAGGCATATACCATTACTGGCAGGAAAAGAACGTGGACAGGACTCTGTGGAAGCTCGGGACCTTGCCACCCGGGCTTTTGACCTTCTATGGGCTGACCGAGCCTTTGAACCCGTCATGGCATGTGCTGGGCTTGGGCTATACAAATGTTGACCATCAGTTGATAGAGAAGGGAGCTGTGTTGCATTTTAATGGCAACTCGAAGCCTTGGCTGAAAATTGGAATGGAGAAGTATAAACCCCTCTGGGATAAGTACGTCGATTATGGGCATCCCTTGTTGCAACAATGCAATGTCCACTAGATTTGGAATTTTACGGGTTTTATGTGGCTCTGCACAGGACGTGGATTTTTTTTGCTTTGTACACGTTGAGGAGATTATGAGACGACTCTGTGGGCAGTGGGGTGAGTCGTATAATTAACCGTCCCCAGTTAAGTTATTTCGAGCTTCGAGTTTGTTGTTGTAATATATTATATTCTGCACGTTGTCTCATTTTAGATCTGCCTAAGCTATTTAAAACCGATTGCTCGTGTTTTTGGATCTGTCTAAGCTAATTACAAGTTGACTGGATTTCTTTGCACCAACTAGTTCGTCTTGGTAGGGTGACTTACTTTTTACCATGTTTCATCTTCAGCTGTTCGAGATTATAGGGAAGGTGTAATGTATATATGGTGCACTCTGAATTTCTTGAAATTTAGAATGCTACATTTCACAGGATATTGAACTATGGTATCCTCAAGTATCTCGTTAATTATAAAATTAAGTGCTAATGATTTTTGCTCTGTTCAATCATCAATACAGGCTAGAATTGTATTGGACTAGTTGCTAACGATGAAGATCTTTAGAAACTTCATATAGATGAGCTAAACACCACCAATGTGCATGTAGAAAAATATAGCAAAAAATCAATGTGCAGTTGCCATCACTTTTTCATGTGAGCATATGCATGCACGAGCCAAGATATAAATCACTTAAACCACCAGACACAACCCTGATTTTCTCTTGGTGTCTTTAGTTTTTCCACACAAAGCACATTTCTATTAGATATTTCAACATTGCAGCTTTTTTTCTTTCAAGAATCCCAGTGAAATCAAATTTCACGCATCACATCACATAGAAACCAATCCATACAACGCAAAAGAGAGAATCTCCCGACCCGTAGATTCCCCCGAGAGACCTCAAAACTCATAATCATACGCCGTGTTGCTCGACAGAATATTGATTTTCTTGTTAGGCGCGAGGTTATCCACCACCATAGAAACATTCACAAACACCGTGAACTGCCTCAAAGGGAACTCCCCCACGACAATGCTAATTGGGGCCCGAACTTTCACGAGCAACGGGATTTTCTTGTTCTTCTGGCTTTCAGACAGGGCCTCCTGCAGGCCCGACCCAAACGGGCTTTCCCCCATGAGGTCGATTTTGATGTAACTTGTGTTCTTTTGCCCTTGGTGGAAACTCGGAAGCTTCCCTCGGCAGAGATCGCTGTTTGAATAATAAACCCCGACTGAACTGCTGTGGCCGTATATGATCCCGATATTGTTGTTTGGGTTTTCGGCCTTCACGGTCACGAGAAACTCGGTTTTGAGGCTGAAATCGGGCGTGAGGTCAAAGGCTTTGACCTCGAAATCCTGGACATTGTAGGAAGGGACTTTGGGGTGCTCGATCGTGTAGAAATAGAAAGCGAGGAAGGATAGGACGATGACGATGATGAAAAGGCAGCTATAGCAGCAGCAAATGCAACGGAAGCAGCTCTTTACTCCGCCGGATTTCGGTTTTTGGTAGTAGGAGTTGTACCGTGGGACCTGGCGGTGGTAAGGCGGCGGAGGGCGGCTGCCGGAGGTTTGGCCGCCGTTGAGGCTGACGTACGGAGGTGGAGGAGCTTGCATGGTGGCAAAATTTTGTGGCCCAAAATGGATGTTTTTTATTATTATTATTATTATTATATTAGGAATGGACGTGGTGTGGTGGTAGAGAGAAAAAGGGAGATTGAGAAAGGTGTGGAGAAGAGTTGTGAAAATTGGTCCGATTGTTAAGGGGCCCTTTTAGTTAAGTTTGTGGTTAGAGATATGCAAATACGTTACATTTCATGCCTATGGTTTATTTATGAGTGTAATAAGAAAAGTGAATAATTAGTTGGCCAATTATTTCCATCAGATCCTTGAAAGAAACCATCCATCGATGTGAGACCAAGGAAATTTCTATCTATTACTCTAAAAATGTGGGACAAAACAGAATTTCAAGGAAATTTCTATCTATTACTCTAAAAATGTGGGACAAAACAGAATTTCTAACGTACATATATTTGCTTGAATCGCTTGTACCAAATTAGCATAGTCTACCTTCCAAATTATTTCAAGCAGGCAAAACACAGGAAATAATCCAAGCCTGAAACCATGACATCATCAAGACCAAAGTATGCACGTTCCATCCATTCATACGATAAATCAACTGAAATAATCCTGAGTGAATAGGGGATAGAGAGGTGTAATGACAAATACAAACAAATTTAGAACATATCCTCAGTTCTCTATCCATCATCGAAACAAAGTTTGCACCCGAACTTGTATCAGTGTAACATTTGCCAGACGGGACAAGGTTAGTCACGTTCGCTGATCGCAGTCAAGTGCTCATCGATTTCTTCAGTCGACAGAACTTTGAAAACTAGATCTTCTTTCCTCACAACGCCAACCTGAAACATATACCAAAAGATTTATTTCACCAGAAAAATAGCACATCATAAAAATTGATGAGGTAAAGAAAAGAAGAAATATTATGGAAAGGGGTAAGAATTTCAAACACCAAATCCCGGAAAGAATTTACCTCAATCTCACTAGCTTTGAAGTCCTCCTGCAGAACAGATTGTAGAGCCGAAATTGCAGTCTGCAAAAGAAATGGTTAAATTATCAGTAGACAACAACTACCAAGCTCTTCTTTACTTGTCATGGAAAAAAGGAACATAACAATAATTGCACATTGTCCAGAATTTCTGATCAGAAGATTGTAGATACACAGTAGAGGGAGGGAGAGAGAGAGAGAGAGAGAGAGAGAGAGAAAACAGCAGTCAAAGTCAAGGTTTTACAAGATTCAGTTTGAACTATTGACTAAGCAGGTAGCTTAGATGAGTCATGAAAGTAATGCACTAGTATCTGTAATTTACAGATATGTTCTCAAATAATGATCTAACATCTAAGCTTTGTGATGTTCACATAATCATTGCATCAAGGGTTGATTCTGAAAGCAGATTTGCATACTAGTAAATGATAACATTTAACATACTCAACTAGCACATGCTATGTCCATTACTAATGCCTAATGTAGTTAAACAATCAAGTTAAAATCCTACATGCAAACAATTATCAGGGCTCATCAATATTATGCATAATATACCTGCACAGTTTCTTCATATGAGAATGCAGGATCATTCTTCATCTTCTTTTCTAAGAAATTAATAGCTTCTTGCTCTTTCCCTCCAGCACTTGTTGCCTATCAGAAAACAAAAGCAAACGTAAATATCTTTTCGATCCAAAATAGGTTAGGAAAAAAAAGTCTTTACAACTTATTACTAAATGTTCACTTCAATCAGCAGGAAAAAGGAAAAAAAAAAAAGAATGATCTCGTACCATTTTGAGGAGCTCATGAAAAAGCAGTTTGTTTCTTTAAATGTGAAATCTTCTTAGACGTAACTTAAATAAAAATATGGGAACACCTAGATATCCCACGTGTGGAAACCCAAATAAAGCATTCAAAACCAAATTACCTTATGACCGAAAAAATGACCAGCGGGATCGCACTTGAAGAGCTGAGGACCTTTCTCATCATCAATACCCAAAATCATCGCAACTTTATACCAAAAAAATGCAAATTAATAAATCGAACAATATGATTTGGAAAAAAAAGACACTGAAGGCCACGGGTTTGGCAATTGAAATGAGATATGTAACAAACCTACGCCAAGTGGTCTCATATAGGCATGTTGCGTGTATACCTGAGACTTGTCAGCAATCCTGCATTCCAATGTATACACTTAAAACTAAACATGCGAAAAAATGCACCAATTTTTGCCTTATGAAAAATATTTACATGAAGATATTCGTATAAACTTTGTATGAGTGCATGTCATACACAGCTGCCAATTAGCAACATATCCCAAGCTAACATAATTGTTGTGTAAACACTATTACTCGGAGAGATAACTATAAGCAAGATTAATTGCTTCTTAACTATAAGAGAGAAAGCATAGTTAAAAACGTATTTCGGTTTGCCAAAATAAAGATACCATCGTGCCAATGAGTCAACAGGCATTTCATATCCATATCTGAAGCGAAACTCAGCAGCCTCATTCCTTGCTTGATGAACCAGAGTTCTTGCGTCAGCTGGGTAGTAAAGGAAATATTTCAACTCATCTATTCTAGTAAAACAGTGAAGAAGTAAATAAGATTCCACTTTTTCACATAGTAAATATCATTCTCAACATCTTTCTGACATTATAATGCTCGAGTACAAGCAGGATTCAAATTTGGACCTTGCAAAATAAAAGTGAACATTATGGCTTTACAAATAGAAAATACATCCCCTGACAACCAAAAAACTCTGATGATGGGATACTTCAGTTCATAAAACTATCACGGTGCCACCCAATACAAATAGCACCTAAATGATTGACATTGTTCACCAAACAAGATTTCTTTACCATGTCTATTAACCCCACAGTGCCACATAAAAAGTGAATTCTAAATATAGTGGATTAGAATGGCAATTAGTGACCCCATTTTACGAAATAATAAGTAAGCAGAAGGGTACCCGTCATGCCCGTAGCCAACAAACCAAGGTACTTGGTAACGGGAAACAAATGGGTGACGCTTGTCTGGTCCAAAAGTTTGTCCTGCACACACATTTCCCACACGATAAACACAACACACGTAAAGCAAATTACCGAAACTAAACATAGAGAATAAGAAAATAACCCACCGGGACTTTCTTCTGGGTAACAACACAAACTGAATCCGCCCCACGAACCCCAATAGACGTTATTCCGGCGGCCTTCACAGCTTTGAAAGCATATTCTGCAAAAATTACGCAGGCATAGCTACATAAACCCTAATTCCTAACCAAGCAACCGAACAACCATACTCTAGCCAAATCAAGGCATAAAAATGCACATAATGTAAAAATAGTGTTCTCCAGAAGTGTAAGTGCTTACCAACTTGGTACAGTCGACCTTCCGGAGAGAAGATCGTGATGTGTCGATCGTATCCGCCTCCACTACCGCGGCTCATTCTTCAAAAATATGATCTTCTAACAGAAGTTAGGGCTTTTCGATCACCGCGGATTGTTTGCAATTTGATTTCTCAAAACAAAATTTGTTCTGATTTGTGATTAGAAGAGATGCTAAGGAGAGCAGTGAGGTTTATACGTGAAAAGGAAGAGGCTGCTTAAGGTGCAAGACAGGAAGAATGTAAGAATACGTAATGACCGTAATACCCCCACTATGTATGATTTCACATTTCGATTTTCTCTCATTTTCTGTTTAGATTTATTTCTAGTCCACATCCAACAAATGGTTAGTTATGATTAAGCTGGTAAACGAGTTGAGTCGAAGCTCGAGCCCTTAACGAGAAGAGCCGAGCCGAGCTGAGCTTGGCTCGTTAAATAAACGAGCCAGAAATTGAGCTCGAGCTTTAACGAGCCGAATTATAAAAAATTATATAAAAATTTTCTTTCCGAATTTTAACGAGCCTTATCGAGCCGAGCTCGAGCTCTTATATTAAGTTTTTCTAAAATTAGCATTTTTCAAACCGCTACTTACTAAACAACAAAATTAAATGTTGTAACATTTCAAATTTACCCTAAAACTTCTAGTTTGATCACAAAAAACTTATTACCAAACAAGACCATATTAATCAATCTTATAATTAAGTAGACAAATTGGTGTATAGTTAATGGATGGAACTTATTTACTGATTTGACCCGTTAAATCAGTTAACTACTAAAGGCAAGGGTCGATAGAATTGAGTTTCATCACGGGGAGTTTTCGGAAGATTCAAACTGTCGTTACTAAAGAACTTATTTAATTAGTCTTTTGAGCCTAAAACCGTTAAATTAGCTAACTACTCGTTACCAAAGAACTTATTTAATTAGTCTTTTGAGCCTAAAACGCCAATTTTAAAAAAGGTCAATATAAGAGTGTTTTGAGAAGAGATGTTTCATGTAATAACATGTCAACATACTATTTTCAAAATAACTATACAAATCCATTATTTGTCATATAATTTATTACAAACAACTAATACAATTCGCTATACTTATACAAACACTATAGGAAATCAAATTCTTTTGAACGAATACTATAGTCTGAATCTCTCTCTCTCTCTCTCTCACTATACCTATACAAAACGAATAGGAAATCAAATAGTGGTAAAACTGAATTCACACTAGATTAGAGCCACTCCAATGCTACTTTAGAATAGCGTAAAACGCTGAAGTAGTGTGAAAAAATCACTCCAAGGCAGCGCTATATTGTAGCGCTAGATCAGATAAATAAACAGTACTGCGCCAGTTATAGCGCAGTACTGTAGCAGAACGCCAGAATCTTTTTTCCTTTTTTTTTAATGTATTATTAATGATAAATTTTTATATAATGTATATTAATAAATGTATTTTTATGCTAAATAACTTTGTACAATGTATTATTCTAAATGATTTTGTACTTTTTATTTATTGATGTATTATATTTTTATTTTATAATTTTTTAATATTAAAATGGTACCACATGAATAAAAATTTAACACATTCCAACAAGTATATTTCATTACAATTAAAAATTTACAACAAACGTAAAAATAATATATTTGAAATAAAAATTAATAAGAAAATAATATATTTGATATAGAGTAAAATGTAGAGTTTCACTCTACTCTATAATAGAGTAAAGTCCGCACTAGATTAGAGATAAGGGCTAAAGATGGCCTTAAGATTGAATTGATGCATCTCTAGAAGTACAAGCCCCAATCTAGCCCCTTTTTTTTATTTCTTTTATCATGTACAGTGTTTAACATTAAAAATTATTTTTTTATCATAACTCTACAATAATCTAATTGAGGGACAACTATTTGAACTTAATCAAATTATCAGCAGCTGATAATTAAACCTCTCTTTCATTGGCTGTCTAGACTTGTAATAAGAACTAATATATATAAGATTATACATGGGGGCGTATATGGGCGGTAGGCCATATATGCCACGTTATGCCAGGTTGTGTCTGTACTAATTATTCAACTTTCTTTTATCATCTTCAATTCACAAAAATAAGCCATGTTTTTTTCTCCGGAGTAGGTATGCAACTAATTCCCTCTATTTTCGCCATCTCCATTTTTACCTTCTGAAGTTGAATTTATTCGGACAGTGAAAAGCCCGTTCGAACTACAATTTTTTTTTTTTTTTTTTTCNTTTTTCGAGCGTGAATATAGGTTGTTCAAAGTTCAAACGGTTTCAATTAGAAGTCGTTAACTACCGAAATTTTTCTGTGTTTACTATTTATGTGGTGTGAATGGTCAACACTTCAATTCAATTCGTTCCAAGAACCTCTATTGTCTTTTTAAATGTAAGTCGATCGATCAACTCCTACTGTGATGTCCTATCTCTTCAACGTTCAAGTAGAGAGCAAGAGAGAGAATGCATTTAAATATAAAATGTGTGTAAAACTTATCCTATTTAGTATATACTTTCGATATTCTTATTCATATACTACATGTCAAGCTATTTTGGTAATATATTTTATGCTCCATTGGCATCTAATCTTGGAGATTTAAGGGGGTCAATCATATTGTGGAAATAATTATTATTTGTCCAATAAAAAGAAGGATAAAAATTTTATGGTCCAAATTTTGAAAACAAATCTTTTCTAGCCTACTTGCCAATAAAAAGAAAGATAAAAGTTTTATGGTCTAAATTTTGAAAACAAATCTGTTCTAGCCTACTTGGTCGATAATGCAATCGATAGAATATGATGCGTTTGCAGTAGTATGATGTTTTGTAATATGATAGTATCATAATGTGTCCGTAGATTATGGTGTGTTTGCAGTAGTATTTGTAATATGATGCAGTAGCATGGTGCAGTGTCATAATGTGTCCATAGATTATGGTACGACAACAATAATATGATGGTTGCTGTATGGTAGAGCCGCAGATTACGATGTGATTGTAGTAATATAGTACAATCACTATTGCACGATCACAATATTGTCATGTTGGTCAGTAATAGTAGTTCGATTTTAACGACAATCCAACTATTCCACTCCCGATCATGATTTCTAACCTAACAAATAAGTGTTTTTAATTTCAGTTATCTTGTTTTAAAATAATAATAATAATAATAATAATAATAATAATAATAATAATAATAATAATTGATCCAAAAAGAATATTTCCCAATCACTACATGTTAAAAATTTTAATAATACCTTCTCCAACCAAAAAATAAAATTAAAAAAAATAATAAAAATTTTCCAGCTGCCAGCTCATTCCAACAAACTCCAGCACGTACACTCGCTCTTATCCCCAAACACACAATATAAACCCCACATGCCCTCTCACACACACACACAGAGTCACAAATCCACCACCAGAAAATGGCAGCGCCGCTCTTCCTCCTCCCCCTCCTCCTCCTCCTCCTCCTCCTCTCCTCCGCCTCCGCCCAGAGGGCCCCCGCCCCCTCCAACCGGGCCACCCCCGTCAACATCACCGGCATCCTCGATCACGCGGGCGGCTACACCTCCTTCATCCGCCTCCTCAACGACACCCAGGCCGCCGTCCAGATCGACAATCAGGCCAACAATTCCCACGACGGCATGACCGTCTTTGCCCCCACCGACAACGCCTTCACCAACCTCCCCGCCGGCGCCCTCAACAACCTCACCACTCAGCAGCAGGTCCAGCTCGTCCTCTACCACATCTGCCCCAAATTCTACACCCTCGACGACCTCCGCACCGTCAGCAACCCCGTCCGCACACAGGCCTCCGGCCAGGACGGCGGCGTATTCGGCCTCTACGTCTCCGGCGGCGTCGGCAGTGGGGTCAACATCTCCACCGGCGTCGTCAGCGTCCCGATTTACAACGCCGTCCGGGCGGAATTCCCGCTCGCCGTGTACCAGGTGGACCGGGTCCTCATGCCCCGGGAGTTCTCCGAGGCGAGGCCGCCGGCTCCGGCGCCGCCGGCCAACGGGACGCGGGCCCGCGGCGGAGGCGGCGGCGGAGGGGAATCGGTGGCGCCGTCCTCGGGGAATCCGTCGGGCAATGGGTGTGGGAAGAGTGTAGGTGTGGGGATGGGATTGTTAGGTGGAATTTGGCTATTGGGCGTGACAGTACTCTTTTGAGTTGNGTGTATGTTGTTGAGTAAATTGCTTTGATTTGATTTTGTTTTATTGTTTTTATGTTGAATTTGTGACGATCCAATTGGTTTTATTAATTTTCATGAATTATATCACATGTATGTGTGAAGTTGAGTAATTTAAAATTAGTATAGTGTATTTTTTATTTTTTTTTAATCTAGTTGCAGAAACTCTAGTTGCATGAAGTTGAGTAATTTAAAATTAGTATAGTGTATTTTTTTATTTTTTTTTAATCTAGTTGCAGAAACTCTAGTTGCAGAAACGTCTCACATGCATATATTCTTGGAGTGATATAAAAATTGCAAGGATTTGGGGTCCAATTTGATTAATGGAGCAAATTAAGTCAATGGCTAGAAAGATATATAGCTACATTGCCAGCTGCAGTTGCTAATTACAGCCAAACACGCATGAATGAATAGCAAACCAAAGATATTGAGTGAAGCAATACAACCCCCCAAACTTCTCAAGCCCGAATCACGATTGGTTGAACCTGGTCGAGCTGAATACTTCATGTTCGAATTTATGCTTGTTTACCAACTTATCGCAGTTGTCTCAAGACCTATTAATTAAAAAATAGAAAAAAAAAATCAATTGCTTGCTAAAATGTTCGACTAAACTCGCATAATAATCGAACTCTATTAGTTGTTTGAGCTCCACTTATTGAAGTGTGCGGAACAAACGGAGCTCAGCTCTTATGAGCTAGTCGAACTAAAATGTGTTTGCGATGATCAATCGAATTAAATAGACACTAATAATTTCTCTGATATGAACTACATATACGACAATGTCTCTTCACTTTCTACAATATGAAAGTTTATGTGTAGGCCCTTATTTTATTTTTATCCCTATGCATAAAGCTTATAATTGATGAAGATACGTTAACATGTCAGTATCAACGGATAAGCATAAGTCTACTGCTTCAAAAATGTCAAATATACTACTCCTAATTTCTTTGTGCTATAAAAGTCCGCAAGAGACTTTCACAAGTAAACATAACAACTACTACAGTAGAGGTGCGGTGCACGAGAATGCACTGGTCCGTTTTCATGGTTATTAGT